TAACTGATATCGTGAAGAAATTATTAATCTTTGAAATATTTTATTATAAAATCAAATTATATAAATCTGATTTTGGCTCTAATATTAACCTGTTTTTATTGATTTTATTGCATTGCAAAATAGAGCTTGACATTTTAAATTATTATTTTTATTATATCTTTTTAATGTTTATATGATACCTCTGAGAAAATTTATCTATTTTTAATAAAAACTAATAATAAAAACTAAAAATTAATATTGCATTAATTCTTATTTAAAGCATGTTAAACGCTGAAAAATATGATACGAGTCCAATGGACCCATGACAACAGTTAAGGGTTAAAAATGGCAATTGTATTAAATGGGATTAATCTTTCGCTAGTAACTGGAATTTTTAAAAGCACCATTATTTTTAATCGTGAAAATTCTGGTCTAGATAAATTTATATCTGTAAAAAAGAAACAAATAGATACAATTCTACTTCTATGATGGCAAAAATTTGTTGTAACTTTGATATCAAAATTTTTTTAGATTTTTATATCGGAACAATAAAAAAATTGTTCTGTTTTTCGAAACCCCTATTGCTAACGAAAGAATTAAAATATTGCCGGTGAAGCATTAAATAAATGATTTATGTAGTTCATATATATATTCGTCAATCACGAATGGTATGAATATATTAAATTTTATTACTTGCTATATTTTTAAATAGCATTTCTACTTTAATTTGCATATAAATCCGATAAAGAGTATTACATGATTTGCATTGAAAACACTATTGATTGCGTATGCTTCAATCATTTGAATTGCGTGTCGTATTAACAATTCTCTACAAATTGCATGTTCGGTATACAATGATATTTATCACAGAATAATGAAATAGCTTCTACAATTCAATGATTATCCAAATATCACCAGTCGAAGTCAGTTCTAAAAAAGTATTTAATGCGATCATTCTATACGGTGGCCCGCATTGTGCATCTGTCGGTGCTCGCGTTATGTCATAATAAAGCATACATATTCGGTAGGCGTCTCGCGTGGGAGCGACGGCGGGTGCGCACCCCGAGTTCCACGGGGGTGTCACGACGCGCCGTGAATCCGGCATCGACCGCGAAAATGGCAACCTCTGACTGCCACCCGTTCGACGCTATGCGAAAACGATCGTCGGGCTCGGCAGTCCATAAGATTGCCTCTTACATACCGCTTAGCTGTGAGGAATTACGGCTAACCGTACCGAGTATCAGCGATGTTGTCAGAGAAGGAGAACTGTTATAAGCGGCCTACACACCACGCCCGCGAACTGGGGCGGTGCCATCGCCGTGGAATCGATATCCGTTCACTCTTATCGGATTTTATTCGCTTGTAAAAAAAAAAAAGAAGGAGAGGAAAACGCGTGATCAAAAATGAAATTGTCATACACGGGCAAAAAATAAAATCATCGCTGCCGAATAAAATAAATTACGTATAATTGATAATTTTCATTCCATTTCACGGATGCAAAAATTATTCAAATTAAAGAAATCGGACTCTATGTGACATTTAGCATGTCTTACTGCCGCTGTCCAAAATTGTTTTTTTTTTAATCTGACCGTCAGTTTTTAATTTTGGACTTAGCAATAAATTTAAAAAAATTATAAAACTTAGATACAATAGAATATATAGAAGTTGGTTACTTTATTTCTAAACTTGAATTTACAAAGCGATATTTTTGGAAGATTCAATAAAAGTGAATGATAAATGTATGTGTTGTACTTAATTTCTTCCTTACGATTAAAAATATTGATATTATCAATTCCTAAGTATAATTGATTGATTTACAGAGCGTCACACACTTTCAAAGGGAAAAAAGTAGAAATGAGAATTAATTTCGGCCACTAATGTATCTTACAGATCGACCGCATCACAGTCTGCCGCATATTAATAAGTTCGCTATAAAAGATAGAGCCGTCCACCGAAAATGTAAAAAATTGGATTTCCCATTTTAATTGCCATTAAATGGCAACATTAATGTTCCGTCAGTGCAATTATGCCGACGTAATTTTCTTAAATCTAATTTTTATCATCGCGCAGGTGCGAGACATTAAAGCTCCTAAGGCTTTGCCGAAATTGATAAAAAAAGTGTGGCGTTTAAAATTACATCTCAGTTGCATCACCGTTGTATCCATCTGAATTTTGACCATTTTTTTTGTGTACATGAACTTGTTTGCAGGAGTTGAGCTAACATGTCCATATTCTCTCCTATGAGCCGCACTGTGTACATATTACAATATAGGGTACTGAATTATGCGAGATGGATGATAAAAACTTGTGCTTTCGAGATTCGCCTCTCCTCGTTTAATCCGATTTAGAAACGCGTTCTGAATTACAGTTAATTCACGTGCTTGGTACATGCTGTAGTTAATTGCGACTTTACGACGCGCCACTTTTACAGGATGCGACCTACCTATTATGGATGCACGTCGAAGTCCCTTTATCCGTTCAGAAGATAGGGTTACACGTGTGACGAGGTTGCGAACACCAAGATAGGTGCATCGCACCCGCCGTGTAATGATAAAAAGCCGCACCTTGTAACGGAGTAAAAAGAGCGTCCCTTACCGGCAAAACAAACATGATGTCGGCAATAAAACGTAAAACAACCTTTGCAGTATAAATAGGGCGAAAGAGCATCTAATGGCTTCTTCGCCGTTCAACAAAGTGATAACCCGTAAATATCTCATAACCTTATTCGCATTTCATCCAGCATCCTATTATCGCAGAATCGGTCTGAATTAATAAAAATTTTAGATGTTTCTTCCAGCTTTGTTGCAGATAAATCTAATGACGCCTACAAGCGTTAAATTATCGAGACTATTAACGGCATTAACGTCATCCAGAAAGTCCTACGCAGATCCATTATATAGCATTAATACGAATAACAAAAAAAAAAATTAGCGCACTGAAGAAATTTTTTTTAAAAATCTTTCTATTATCGTATATCCATTATCTCGTTAGGAACACAAAAGAAAGAACGCAATAACAGATGTTACAGTTAATAGTGAAAATTGCCAGACCTAGTATTATTAACGAGCTCTGCTTTCGCCTCGCAATCAATATATCGGATTTCTTTCATCGCCAATAATATCAACGACATCGGCGCCGCGAGAGTGTCATTATTCCCGTGGAGACACCCCCATTGGATACTGACGTCATCAAATAAATTCAAAATCAATTTTTCTCGGTGAGGGTACGATGGGCCTATCGCACAATGTCTCTCCAGTGGCCCACAAGACGAAATAGTCTCGTCTTTCTTATATCGTTACCGATGTTGCTCGAGGATTTGTTGAAGAGCCGAAGTAATTTTTTTTTATCTCACAATTACGATATCAAATAAAAGCAGTAAGTAAAAGTGAGAAAGAACGGAAACAGAAAGTTATGGAAACTAGACTGATTGGAAATAGAAAACCGAAATGAAGCTTTATTATGCACAAATAAATTCGAAATACTTAGAGAAAGAGAGAGAGAGAGAGAGAGAGAGAGAGAGAGAGAGAGAGAGAGAGAGAGAGAGACTCTTTCGAATTAAAATCTTCTAGAATCTCGAAACTCCGCTGAGGAAATTGCAATTGTTTAATCAATACAGTTATATACGCTATGCGGAGTAATTTTACACTGACGAAGCATAACAGGTTTCTACAAAATTATCTTTCTTTTTTTACGGAGATATAAAGTATTTATGACACGTGCAAATACAACGTAAGTGCTATCTCGAAGGTACTCTTTTCCTCTCTAGTTTCCATCACTCAACCCTGTTACTTTTACCGCTTCTTGATGCACTGTCCCATTTCGTGTCATATCTCACCCAATCCACATCGATCGTATACGATTAAACCCCTATCATCTTCTTGTATACTTTACAACATATTTGAAAAATGTGTTAGTTTCTAAATGGAAGCTATGAATAGAACAAACAAATAGAAATAAGATAAATATAAAACAATTTATAATGGATTTCCGAATTTACATGATTTTTTTTATTGAGATCCGTAGGACAAAATTTATTAAAATCTATACACATTCTGAACATTTTAATTAAATTTCGAGGAGATTATTAAAATAAATAGATAAATAGGTATATAGTTAAAATAAATATTGTTAGAATAAAATAAATAGTCTAAATCTGCGATCACATTTAATTTACAATTATATTTTAATTATATTTATGTTTCAAAATTTGATTTATATATTTTATTATAAACAATTAAAAATTATTAAATGCTCAATAATTCTATGCATTAAATATTAATTATGTTCTAAGTGCAATTTTATAAATGTGAAATATGGCTTTACAAATGTGAAATATGGCTTTATTCACATTGCATCTGCGTATATGTTTGAATTTCGTAATTTATGAATTATATGAGCCTCGCATTATGAATTGATACTTGCAATGTCCATTTATAAACTTTGATTAATATAATTAAAAATATACTATAAATACTTTCTCTTTATTACAGATAAATAATTGGGATTATTTTCTCATTAAGCGTTATAATAAAAATCGAAATACTTTCAACAACGACTTAACTCAATAATTGTCAACATATTTTTACGTTGAGTGTAAAAAAAGAATGGAAATATATAAAGAAAAAAGAAAGTACTTTTGTTTCATTACAATTAGTTATTACATTAACATTGCATTTTAAGATTAATATTCTAAAAGTTTTAATGTTTCAAAACGTTCAAACTTATTTTCTATATTTTCAAAGTTGTGTCATTTTATAACAAATAAACGATATGTACATCTTTACTTCTTAATCGATTTAATTAATAAATTTTATTTCTTTCTCTCGATTATCATTTTTTTTTTCGTTTTTTTTAAATATGAATTTCTAATTTTAAACAGCATTGTAAATCTTGCGCAACAATGCTGTGAAACGTAAAGAGATTTTTGTATTCTAAAAATATCATACACGGTATTGGAGAGAAATACTTACAGAAACGAAAAGAAGACTTGCAGAATACATTTCTTTGAATTCCGTTAGTTCTTAAGCTTTCCTTCTTCGTCTTCTCTTATTGATTCCCGATACATTTTCTCTTTTTTGTTGATTCATGTTGTCAATCCAAAACAATCCTAGCCAATTAGTTAAATCATGCCATCCTACACAATAACAATGAACAACATAATTATAGCTCGTATTATGGGATATATCAACTGTCTACCTCGTTGGCGCCATGTGAAATGTTTCTCGTTCGGTTTTCAGTGTCCCACTTTCCACTTTCAACTCTGTTATTCGCATCATTCTGTTTAATGATGTATATACTCGTAAATCGCATATTAGTTGTTTGTAATTCGCATTTGTGCTTTTATACGCGATAATAATAATAGCAATAAAGCACAAATAGCAACATTAATAATCATGGTGTTAACATTACTATTGTAGTGCGAGAGATACATAATTATTAGAAATTTTTCTTCCTATTTTGATGTCTTTGTATAATATATGGAATACGATAATAAAAGTAATTGAGGCAGAAAATAAAATTTTTTTATCTGTATACTTGAAATTACAAAGTCTATTCAACTTGCATTTTTCTGATGTCCATGGTGATCGTTTATCTCAGTCGAAGACGAGTTGTCATCATTAGCATTACAAGAGCTATTCTTCACGTTCGCACAGCGTCGAAATCAAACTGCTGTTTGCATGCAACACGTTACCTCATGTTATATCTCGGCCAATCTACGGCAGGTCCGACCTCCGTGTCGAAAGTTCCGGTGTGGTCCATAGCATCTCCGAAGTGGTCGGATGGAGGTGCGTTATATTTCCCGAGGGCCAGGTCGATGAGGGAGAAACTGCACCCGGGAAACATGGCCATGCAATCTTTGCCCTCGTGGCCGGCTTTATGAGCCTTGGTGTACGTGCGATGCTCCTCTGGTTCGAAGGAGAACACTCTTTTTAGAGGTAATCTGTAACGAGAAGGGCGAAACGAGTTATCTTTTAAATTATAAGCCAAGCGTTCACCAGTCTACATTATGGCAATGATCGAATTACGCGTCGAAGAGTCATGGAAAATCGACGAGGAGGAAAGGCAGACCAAGAGTCTCGTCTTGATTCTCCTCCTATCATCTAGCAAGAAACATCTGAAATATTCTAGAATAATAGAGCAATAGTCTCTCAGGAGGGAAGCCTCCGTTATTTGAAATGATAAATAGGCTAACTATCATGATTGCTCATAATAAACAGTTGTAGAATAATGAAGAAAATACCTCTCGTTGAATAAAAAAATTGTTTGTGCTGTGAATTATGTTTCTAATTCATCATCATTTGACTTGAAAAAATTATTTTATCCTCTTGCAAAGAAAATTTATAACTATTTATAAATTTAACTTAGAAATGAAGAAATGGAGTAAAGTGTATTGGCACATAACGTTCTGAGGCACGTTTTTCAAACAGAGTTTTCATTAAATGAAATTGAATAAAAAATAGAGAAAATTTAATTAGGAGAATTGGGGTAATTTTGTATATTTTTGAGAAGAAAGTTGAAGTATACGTACAGTCATAAAAAAAGCAATTTATCGTAGATAAATTTTTTATAAAAGTCATCATCTCTACTTGTGATATTACAGATAGATATACGATTTTACGTAAAACACGTGTTTCAAATAGATGAGTTTCAAGTACTTAATAACGAATTATACAAGCAAACAAAAATGTCAAAACGTTCTCGATAACTTTTGTGTCTGTGCAAACGATTGAAAGTGAAGAATTGTTCATGAATGAGAGAACAAAACTATATCGGCCAATTAAGTCATGTGGATAATAGAATTTTTATTTTCGGATTAATATCAAAGCGAAGAAAAAATTCTACACTTTATATATATATATATATATATATATAAAAAAAAAATATATATACTATAAATTTTTATATAAAAAACAATTTCACATTTATCAAAAAATTATCAAAATAATGTCTGTATTTAATTTTAAGGAAAATTATTTACTAGCTTTTATTTATTTAGCGATTTATTTATAAATCTTACATCTTTTTAGTATCAGTTAACTATATCTTTCATCACATTTGTTTTTTTCTCCTTTTCCTTCCTGTCTCTTAAATCACATTATTTTAAACTTACGCGGCAGTTAATATTCATGAATTCTTAAAGTGAAATGTAGAGGAAAAAATTCGAAAAATAGAATACTAAAATCACGGCTCTTCGAAGCGCATATTTGCCAAATCTATCTATCTCTTTAAAATCCTTACGAAAATGATATTCTCATCATTTCTTCTATTAAAGTGTTTCCCTTTGGCATTAATTGTTGAGATGCTTCGCAAAGCGCGCGTAGAACACACATTCTGCCATCAAAGCCCATTCTGAAAAAGAATAGAAAAATTTCTGTAAATGTATGTATAATATACAGATCTATCTTAAAAAACGCTTGCGAGAAAGATAGATTAGATATGTATCCATGAATTCTAATGAATAAAAGCTCCTTTTTAATGAAAGCTTATAAATTCAAATTAGTCAATAAAGTGGTCAATAAGTGGTTTACATAAGCTTGAAAGGAGAACATAATAATAATTTATCTTCTCGATAACTTTTTAGCGAATTTATTAATTCTAAAAAGAAAGAACCACGAATTCGTACCTCGTACAGTTTTCCGTCAAAGATTAAAGAACGTTTTTAGAATGCATTTTACACGCTAAAAAAAGTTAAAAATCTGCTTCATCTCTCATTAAATTCGAGTTGTTTTTTTTTCGTCATATCTTTAGATTATTGGATCGCAAAAGTAATATTCTGCGTATCACTGCTACTTTGTATATCCGGAAACAATCTTGAGTAGACTATGTTGAATGGAGATAATAATTATTTTCTTATTGATTTCAGAAGGAAAAACGATATTACAGAATGATATTACGTCTTCTTTAATCTCCTTCTTCTCTCTGTTCAAAATTCTGATAAAAAGTTAAGAATTTTAATGAAAACGAAACAGCTCTCTAGATTATATAACTGCACGTTTAATCGTTTTACATTGAACAGAAAGGAAAAAATGAATATTTGTGTTTGTAGGCGGAAAAACCAGACGAATCATTTATCACAAGCCATCGACGAACTTGAACAATTGGCAATTTGAGTAAATGTGCCGACTATTTATTTTGTAGAGAAGATCTTAATGAAAAGTGGATCTCTCGAAGAGACAAGATAAAATTAAACTGTCAGTCTAATATAGCTAATCTGATGTGCCATTTGAACCGATTCATTCTTTTACGTTATGCAAATGTCATTTAAACTTATCTCATTCGTATATTTATTATTAATTTACAAATTCTCTAAATAACGTCCCAATTTTCTTTGACAATAATGAGACATTTAAATACACATTCATTCTTATTAGTCTATTCTCTCTGTTTTATTATTCTTATATTCACTTTTTCTTATTATCATATTATTGCCATTTATTTTATTGCCATTATTTTTATAAACCTTTAAATAAAAAATTAAAAATATTTTAAATTCTTTATAAAAAAAAAATATTTTTATTTTTATTTAACAAATCTAATTTATTAGCTATGAATGAGTATTTCTTAATGGATTTTACGTTATTCTACTCTTTGTTATAGCAATTAGTTAAAAAAATTCGCCCTTAATCTACTTTTACAAGAGAAGTAAGACTCTCAGCATTCAATTCCGCATTACGAATCATGTTTTCAGAGGATTTCTTCACAAACTGTCACCAATGTTATTATGAAGGTTCCCAAGTTAAATATCTTTGGTACTATGTTTCTCGAGTAAAAACTCTCGGCTGCTGTTGTCTAGGTTCTTGTATGACCAGAAACGAAAATCCGCCGACGAAAATAATCGGACCACCCTGACAGAAGATATAAATCTAGTTATGGTCTTGGATGTGGAAGAGAGAGAAACTATTTTCCCGTGGTCGTTTGCCTGAGAAGTGGATAAATGGTCCGCCAGACCCGTTCAGAAACAACTCCTCGTCGCCGTTCCGCGGGCCGTGGAAGCGTTACCCTCTGATTCATACCATCCTTAAGCCGCACCAACGGCACTACCACCGCCGACCAATCCCTTATAAACCACCGGCGACGTTTCCCCCCTTCCTCCTACATATATACACTCATATATATAGAGAGAAAACTATCCTTGCATAACCCAAGCGGTCGGCATAAGACGCCGGGCGTAAACCACCACTTTAGTATCTTCCCAGCGAAGGGGTGAATAATTTCATACGGATATTAGCCGCAATACTCTAACGCTCGTCTTGTTATCCTGAACAAGATGGAGTAAATGGTGCTGCTAAATGTCGTTCGATAAACGTCTTTAAAAATGTCGTGGGCTGCAATAAGGGAACGCTGTAATAAACGCGTTTCGCTGAATTATGCGAGGCTCGACAAATGATTTCTTTTTGTCGCCTTGCAACATCAGTTGCAGTCGCAAAGTTATGTGCTTTGTGAGCGTTCTAAATAACTCGGATTTATCTTTTCATTAATGTTCAGCGATGTTCGTTAAATGTAAGATTGTTCTTGTCTACTTAGAAAGTCGATGAAATTGCGATAAAAAAAGTGTCTCAGGTCATATTTTCGCGAGAGAAAAGAAATTGGCTCTAACAAATTACAACAAAGTTTCACATGCGATTTAAAAGGAATATTTAAACTGAGAAACGCTAAGACAATATATTGTAAAAATATATGTAAATGTACATATCTTCAATTGTGCAAATAATAAATTAATTTATTGATTTAAGATTGCCAGGAAAAGGCTTTTTAATATTGTAAAATATCAGCCAATGGCATTAGCGTATTAACATTAGCGTTCTGATAAAACTCGGTTCGAGTCTTCGTCGAATAATTAAAATTAATTGACTAAATCCCACCGCGTAATTGCTACCGTCATACATCCAATAATACAATATGACTTGACAAATTGTAAGCTCACGTGACGTGATAATAGCGCATCTCTTCGACCGACATGCGGTATGAAGAGTTCGGTCTCGTCATCATTATCGCGATGTATCGGCTTTTCTCCTGTTAATGCGGTCGATACGTTGGTACGTCGATAGATGACACGGAAGGAAATCGACGGGTCTCCATAAAGAGACGAGACCGTTCGATCGCTCTGGAGTCGCTAAAACCACCGTTTCATTTTATTACCAAATGTGTCTCTCATCTGAGAGTGTTTCGCGAAAATTCGTTGTTTCCTTCAAAATGTTGAAATCCAGGTTAATAGATTCGTTTGAAATCCAGGTTAATAGATTAATTTGAATGGATAATGATAAGTACAAAAAGTTGATCAGGAGAAATTGTTGTTTTAACGTAGATGTTATTAATCGTTACTAGATGCAGAAATAATCGGATCATAATTCAGAACATCAATAATTATATCATTACATCGTCGTTGTGATCACAATTTGTTTAATATCCAATCATTCGCGTCATTATCGATCACAGAGTGCTTTACGAATATTCAATCTTCAACGTGAGTTACCGAGAGCTTCATCAAATTCAAACTAAGAATTATTTCTTGGAAGACATTTTCATTTACCGCAAAAATTCAATCCTTTATTATTTGAAAATAAATGTATGTACACTTAATATTCTCATGCAGTGATTTTTTTCTAAATGTATAATACGCCATGATTTTGTCTGTTTATGAAACAGATTTGGAAATTAGATTGCTTTAAGAAATTCTCTTGTTAGTTTAACTAATTTCTTGAGCTGTTCATTTATCTATTATGAGTTTCACGTAAATCAAGTCTCTTCTTGGTCTTGCAAATTAACTTTTTCTTTAATCATATTTACTTATTACGAGTTCACAAAAATAAGCGAGACTACCTACGCGTTCATGATGACCTCCAGTTTGTTGTAAAGTTCTCTCCGGTGTCTCCTTTGCAAGTAATAGTATTCCGACTTGCGATATTTTTTTTTAGGTACGAAATGCTGCTTGACGTTGTTATTCCATTCTGAATTCAGGGTGCCATATCTATTAGCGATCATAGTGGAACTATATCGATTATGCTTATTGCTTGTTTTATGTTTATCGTTCCTTAACTCTAAGAAAGGCTCCAGGGCAGACTTGCTCTCGTTGGGTAGGTCATAGGAGATACCCCAATTAAGACCTTCTGTGAAGACATCGTCCGGAGTTAGAGTGTGCACCGTCAAGCAAAGAGCAATCTGCAATACATTAAGTTGCACAATAATTCTATCCTTTCTTCATTTGTGTATTTGCATTACGATTAATTAATATAAAATCTACAATTTTTTTTCAAATTTCTATTCCTCAAGAATAAAATAAGGAATAATGGAGTTTTCTACAACATTCTATAATACTTCCTAAAATATTTTACAATAAAGAAGTTATTATAAGAGATTAGGAAGAGTTATATAATTTTAATAATATGTATTATTTGTGTATATATATATATAAAAGATTTGATATCAACAACCTGCGCCAAATTAAATCCCATAAAAAA